TTTCCTTAGAAAAGAAGTGGAAAATCTAAAGAATGAAATTCAGCCAGCATGAGCTCACTGGTGCTAGTCATGATTTTTTTAAAATCAATTTTAGTTATTAACTATTTTAGTAGTTGGGCGGGGGGAGGGGTCTGTTTGTCTAATGTCTGCCATTACACTACTTTCTTCTGCAGCCCTAGAAAAGTCATGCTTTTGAGGTCCTCTGGAGCTTTCCAACAGTGTGCATTTTCCCATTCTTAGAAGAGTGGTATGAGTCAGACAGAGAGGGCTTCATCTGCCCAACCGTCAGAGTAGTCCTGGCAGGTCCCCCTTCCACAACAGCCAGTCCTGCAGGGATTTACATCCATTGGGGTCATGCAAGTTTCACCGAGATTCCCTAGATCTGTCCATTAGCCCCAAGGACTTGGTGTCTGCAGAGGTTGCTGTGAAACTCCACTTACCTGAGAGTAAGGTGGAGAAGCAGGTGCTTGCCCCTCCCCCTCTGGAAACTGGAGAAGTGCCTGATACTTTTCAATAAAGAACAAATGTTTTTAAAGACTCTGCCTTTGCTTTTGGTGACATTTCTTGCAGTTTGCATGGATCTGTGCAGTGGCATGCAGTGCTCAGAGCCACGATGTGGGGAGTATGTGTGTTTGTATTTGTTTGGTCCCATCTACATCAGCGAGCCCTTGAAATGTAGCCTAGCTGGCAGATCTGGCCAGGCTGGGAAACTTAGCTTTAGATGGTTTTTTGTTTGTTTACAAGTGATCTTGGCCACAGACAAGGACACACAGCTGGTGGTCTTTGCACTGTTCTATGATCAGGCTGAGGCTGGGCCCTGAGCCGATGAAGGCTGGAGTGGGGCTAAGCAATTCCATCTTATTCTTGGCCTAATTTGGAGGTGGGTTGGACAAGCTGCTACTCTGCTGCCTTTTTCTGTGGTCTGGAATCTCAGGGCCTGGTTTGGCTTTGCCTGTGTGGGCAGCAGCATCCAGTGCCCCTCTGTCATGGCAGTGGAACCTCTGCTTGCTCAGATGTCTTTCTCCTGCAGCCCAGAGAACACCTCTTGCTGTGAGCAATAACTTGTAATACAAATACCACATAAATACAGGCATTTATTTTCCTGAACTGGTTGTAATATGCAGGTGGGAGAGGTGTGTCTGATGTCTCAGAGAGGGTTTTGCAAGTGGCTTTTGTGATTTGTTCATATGCCAGTGTGGTTCATGCTGGCTGAGGGGACTGTGTGAGCAGCCATTGGCACAGCTCCAGGAGAAGTGACACACTGGAGATGTGTAATGATAACGATGTGCTGTGTGCCAGCCTGGAACTTGTGCAGAAGACCCATGTTGGGAGTTCTGGGGAGAAGGAGCAGTGCCAGCCCATCAGTACTGTGAACAAGGTGCTGTGGCAGTGCTTCCCTGCAGCAATATCATGATAAAGGATGGCGGAGCAGGAGGCTGGCGAAAGCTGTGACCTTCCAGGCAGGATCTGTTTCCCAAACACAGGTTAAACAATAGCAGACTGCTACAGATGTGGGCATGGAGGAACCTGTTAAATTAAAGCCAAAGTGTAACAAGAGAGGTGTTTGCTTTGGAAGATAACGTGTACCTGTTCTGCACACTGAGGGTGAGGGAACTCTCTGAGACATGTTTTACTTCATTACCACAGTAGACCTCTTGCACTGCAAGGCCACAGAGCTCCCAATTCTTCCCTCCCACATCCCCTTTTCTTTTAAGACCAGGAGTCTCTGTTAGCTTTACCAGCACCTCCATCTGACTACCCAGAAGCATCCCAAATGGTGGGAATTGCTGCTTATCTCGTTGCAGAGCTTCCTGACCACATCACGCAAGTTCACTGCCCAGACTGATGCTGTTATTGATATGTCCATGTCTCTGTTACCTGCAGCCTGGTCAGTGGCTGGAGATGAAGAAAGGCTCTCAGCAAGGCACCCTTTGGTGGAGCTGTTTTAATGAGCCAGTTTCATTATTCGCCTTGCTGGTGGTCCCTGAGGGGCTGAAGGGAAGTCTGCTGCTTTATTTTCTTAAATGGTATCAAATAATGGCAGTTAAGACCCTACCAGGAGCAAATGAGCTCTTAGGACAGCATTTCTTGTCCTGTGTACAAGGCTCTATTAAATTAACTTTGCACTCGAATCACCTTACACATCCCTCTTTGGAGAGGCAAATCTAACTTAACTGTGAGATAAAATTTTGCAACCCTATTTCTGTCACACAGGTGACTTGCATAAAGAAATCTTTACATGCATTAATGTTGTCTTAGTTTTGGCAAGCCTTCAAAACAGGCTGTCTCTAATTCTCTGTTTCTATCTTAATGCTGCACTCATCCCAGTGTTAAGTATGTAACTTTCTTGCTTTGCTTACTTTCCATGTTTGTCACAATGGATTTCCTCTTCCACACACCCCTTGCAAATGTACAGGTGCTGTGAGACAAACCCCTGGTGCTGTTGCCATCCAAGCCATGCCTTTTGCCTCTGTGGGTACCTGCAGCTTGGCAGCTCCAGCTGGGCAGGATGGAGTCTTGCATACTTTCAGCTACTTCTCTATTATTTGCACATAGAGTTAATAACTGACTCAAGAGTTCATCTACAAATATATATTTAGGGCTGCTCTTGTTGAATTTTCCCTCTCTCAGCCACAAAGCTCTTGTTTTCTGCAATTTCCTTTCTGTATTTTCCCTTAACCCTAATCCATTTTAGCATTAAAGCATTAGTTTTGAAACAGCTGGTGTATTCTCAGCCTCTTCCTCTTCTTCTGCCTTACCTGCTGATTATTTTTTTTTCTTTCCTCACCATCCTCTATACTTCTGCTGTTTGCAAAAACGGCTTTTCTCCTGCCTCTCCCTGTTCACAGCTCCCACCATCTGTCTCTCTACAAATACAAAGCTTTAGGGGAAATGATTCACTAGGCTGCTAGCTCATTACTCACACTCTCCCCATCATGGTTTCTGCCCTTGTAGGATGCTCTAACTAATGTAATGATCAATGAATCCCGGGAATTGTTATTCAATTAAAAAAAAAAAAGAAAAAGAAAAAAAGAAGGCCCCAGCAGTTAAATAGATTGGGCTCTTTATACTTTCCAAACAGCAAAGCTTAGTTTTTCTTCCTCACTCTGCTAGTATTGTTTTGCAGAAAAGGATCATTCAAACAGAAGAATAGAAACAATCACTGGACCATTTAATGCAACCTTGTGCATCATGTGATGCAGGAGAGTTACTTAATGAAATTCCCTGGCCCAAACCAAGCAAATCTGTGGTAAATCTAGAGCACATATTTTCGGATGACAGCCAAAATGATGAAAGGAATTTACTACCCAGCCTCACTAATCATTTTGAATGCTTAACTGCACTCCCTAATACGCTGCTTTGCAAGCAGCAAAACTGACACAGCCTCATTCCCTGCATGCTTCTCTCCTCCAGACTTGTGCAGGCTGTGTATCCCAGGCCTCTCAGCCCCCTGCCAGGGCCAGGGTGGCCAGCTGCCCACTTCTGGGAAGAGACCAGAACCTCTTCCTCCCAAGCACGTGGGCTTGGGTCTTGGGTCTTTGCTTGGGTAATTCTTTCAATGAAACTAACAGGTACTTAGTATCTTTGAACTCTCCCTGTTAAACCTGGCAGAAATTGGCCAAGAGGCTCAGAAGCCGTGTTAGACAGACTATTTCACAGTGTTAAAACACTTCAGATACCTTAAGGTAACAGAGGCAGCCATGCTGAGTTGGCAGATAATGCCACAGCATTTCAGGCGACTTGCTCAATCTAGAGGCTGAACTCGATGTTGTAGTGCACTCCAGGTGACCCCAATTGTCACCCACATCCTTTTTGTCTCTACTTTGTTGACCATTTAAGACAGATTTCTGTCATGATTCTAGACTGTCACCACATACTAGAAAGTTATTTTCTTAGTTGAAAATTTATCACATGAAAAACAGACCTCCCTTCCCCACATGTAAGTAGGTGCCAAGAAGTACCAGTGCCTGACACAGTTTTATTGTGCCTTCTCAGGAAGCTGCTGATATGTCAGGTATTAGCCTGTTTCAGTTGTTGAGCTTCCCTTTTGAAACCGGAATTGCAAGCAGCACAGCAAATGCCACAATCAAAATCACAGGAGCTGACAATACTGAATACACCTTTCTCTTAAATGGATGCAGTTATTTTTGCAAAAGTCTGCTATAGGAAAATCTGAGTTTTAACTTTTTCTCCATGAGCACCACAAAGCACATGCTGCATTAACATACCATGCTGGCACCACCTCCATGAAAAGCTAATTAAATAATTTGGATACTGTACAAGGAGCATCAACTTCTGGGCTAATTTTCTTTTCAGGCTATCAAACACATGTACTTTCTTATAAAGCTGTGTTTGGGTCATTCTATGATAAATATTAAAGCTGAGGAGGATCTTGGTATGACTGCTCTAAAGAATAAGGTCTGCAGAATTTTAAGTCAATAGGGTCCTCTGTATCTCAGTAAGGTTAAGGCTGTTAAAACCTAAATAAAATTCTCACCAAAGACATGCTTATGTGGTCTGTTAAAAAAAGTTCAAATTTTAGCATATGCGATGTTGTTGAGCCATCCTGGTGGCCAGCACCCTGTGGCTCTCCATCTTTGATTATTTTATTGTTCCATACTGCAAGTTGTAGGAGTCAATGTTCTTTCTCTTAACAATCGCTGGCTTTCCAAATGTCAATTGTCCTTTGACATGCTCTGTTTTGAATAAGGGCTGAAGAGTAGAAGTGAAGCAAAAGGGCTGCCATAAAAAATACTGCAGTGTTCCATGGCACTGACAGCACTTGCACAGTCATGCATTCAGCTCTCTTTCTGGGGACTATTGCTGCAACATGCTGGAGGTGTGAGGGACCAAGCTGTAAGGAAAGGGAATTCTAGAGATTTCAGATCTGAAAGTCCTCTAATTGAAGACAAGTCTCTATGCAAGACAGGCTAAGGAAAATCTGCCTTACCCAACCGGCTTCTCCATTGTCCCCCACAATAATAGAAATGGACACGGTATACAAGATTGCCTTACAAAAGGCAAATATATTTAATAGTGTATATACAAATTGATAGTTCAATAATGCTATACAAAGCAGGAATATCTTTAAAGAAACCCTGAGCAAAAAGGAGGATGTAATTTTTATTTCACACTTATTGCAACATTATTTCTGGTATTTATTTGCTATAATGACTAATAAAAGGAATATGTTAAAACCAGATGTTAAAATAAAAGTGGACATTCTTTCCATTTGTAGCTTATTTAAAAATCTAGAGAAGAGAGTTCTGCCCCATCAGCTTTGGAAATAGATGTTTAACATGGTAGAGAACAAGCTGAGCCTGAGTAACCCAAGACAACCAATTCCTTTAGCAGAAAGAGTGTCTTCTGTCATCAGAAAGAGCCATCTGGAAGAGTGTTGGCTCCCTGCCAGGAACAACCCTTTAACAACCACTCGTCATGTGCTTTAAGTTATCATGTTCATAGCGGCACAACCTGGAGTGTTGGTAAAGGTCCTATTGGAGGAGCAACGTATTCCTCCTCCCGCAGTAACCGCAAAAGGATGTTCTTCTTATTCTTTGGCCAGTTGTAAATGTGAGTGTTCTGCAGCCAGGTAGGCACGTGTTCCTGAAAAAAACAAGGAGAATAAAAGCTAAATCCCATAAATCTTTCTGAATCTCTACCAGAACCTTTCAGATTCTGTCAGACGCTGCCAAGGAAGATTTCATTTTGTCTGTTCTAGGCACTTCCTGTAACAACAAGAAATGTTAACTTGGCTTCAGAATTGTATTTGGGTTCCTAAATAAATGAACTCTGTGTGATCTCACAGCTTGCCTGTCTCTCTTTATCTTCTGCCATCACGTTGGCTAATTTCACCACATTTCAAAGGAAGTCTGATGTCAATGACAGGCCTCGAAAAGCTTGTGAAAATAAACATGAGGAGAAGAGAAGAGAAGAGAAGAGAAGAGAAGAGAAGAGAAGAGAAGAGAAGAGAAGAGAAGAGAAGAGAAGAGAAGAGAAGAGAAGAGAAGAGAAGAGATTTCAGTACCCGTAGCAGGGAAAGGCCACCTTAGTAGCTGCTAAAGGATCCATACAGCACGTGCAACACTGGGATGAGGATCAATAAGGGAAAGACTGGGACCCCACAGGAACATTTCAAATGCTGGTAGCCCTCTCTCCCTCCCCTTGCACTTTTCTTCCCTTCCCTAAGCATGGTGTGCTCCGACCAACTGAGCAGAAGGCTGAAGCCGATGCTGAGCTTGAGGAGAGACTAATGCATCTCCAGATTAGCAGGGTCAAACCTTCACCAATCCCTGCATCCTGGAAAAGGTGCAGACCTTCATAGGAGTTGGCTGATGTCCATTAACACATAATGAAGCTTAGACCACCATGGCATTGGAGAGTGACAGCCAGCTGAGGGAGACAAGCCTGCTCAGACCTTGTGTTCCCATATTCCCACAACTATGGGAGGTTTCCTCATGGATAGCCTGGATGTGTAGGGGTGAAAGGCTATTATAATACCACTAATTAACAGAGGGGCAGATCCTTGACCAAAATCAGTTTATGGTGACCATGAGACAGAGATTTGTTTTGAAATCGGAGACACCAAAACGTAGCCCAAGTAGGATAGCAGGTAAGCAACATGAGGAGACAGGACATCCAGCACTTGATCCCTGGACCTCCTATTTAGTAGTGTTTTCCCAAGACAGCCCCTGTTAGAAGCAGCACAGTTCATGTCAAGCTCGTGGAGCTAGTTCCAAGAGGACAGAGCAAAAAGCTGCTGGCATGCACATCCCTGGTGCCTCAGCAGGGGATGCCCTGGCATGGGCTGCACATGTCCTGCTGCCAGCAAACAGCCCAGCTGCAGTCCAAACCTTTCATTCCCATGATCATGCTTCTCAAACTGGCTGTCTTTTCCTTGGCCTGTAAAGCTGTAGGAACAAGGCTGCATTGCTTTCCCTGCTCAGGGAGCAGTTTGTGTTAATTTATGCAACCACTGTTAGAGCTACAGGATTTATGTATAGGAAGGAAGAGGTAAGTCACACAGGCACCTACAGACCCATTAGTATGAACTCATCTAGGCTTCTGTGACTGGTAGAAGTATTTATCAAGCCTGACCTTCCTCTTTCTCCAGGGGCTGAGAAAGCATAGGCTTTGGTCAGTGGTCTCCCTAAAGTGAAGGGTTGTTCTTCTGGATGGACATCTCACTGCACAAGGGTAAGATCCCACAGTATTCCCTTTGGTAGCAGCAAAAATAAGGCTTCTTGCCCTCACCTGCTAATCTTTTTTTATTTTGGCATAGGAACGGAATTTAATCTGTGAATTTTACTCCTTTGACAAAGCTCTTTGAAATTGGCCTAGAGACTCAAATGTTACTGGGAGAAAGATGACTATGTTTGCATGCACATGCATACCATTGTTACATGGAATTTGTTTCTTTACTAAATCTTGTTAAGAGCTATAGAAGGAATTGCAATTAAATACAGCAGGGGTTTTACCAAATGAGCCCTTTCTCTGCCTTTGATAAGATACTACATTTTTTTGACAAAGGAAATACAGTAGGTATAGTCATTCTGGACTTCAAAAATGAATTTGATAGAGGTCCATATGGGTAAATCATTAGCTGAGATGGAAATTAGTGTGAGAAATGTGTTGTAGGTAAGAAATCAGCAAGTGGGGACATAATGAGAGAGGCACTATACATCCAGAGACAAGCCCTGTATCTTGCTTCCAAAACTGCTCGTGCAGTTTCGTTTAATACCCTTAATCATTTAACACCATTAATACCATAATGAAGTCAGTGCAAAAGCACCTGCACATGAATCAACTCTGGCAATAGTTTTAATTTGAGGGAAGTGTGTAGAGGTAAAGGGCAGCTATGACTGCTATTTTTATCCAGAGTGAGAAAGGGGCTTTTCCTTGTCATGCAACAGCATCTGTCATTGCAGGTGGGAGTAATGGGAAAATAGTTAATGTCCTTTACATTTTTAAAATTTGGCTGTGTATCTGTGAGCTGAGAGTAGGGAGAGTATTCGATAAACCTGCAGTTCAAACAGGTGGGAAGAGGGCAGAGTGTATTAGGGCAGAGGACAGGACTGTTCAGGGCTGTGACAGCAGAGCATGATTTGATATCTCCTGCCTTCCCTGGCACCAGCCCTGTTCATCTCACCCCTTGGCTACTTCCAGAGGGAGTCTCTAGCATGGGGCATTCTTGGCTTAACGCTTTGGTCATCAGGTGGCCAGATGAGGAGGACACATTTCTGTGGATTGTTGTGATGCAAACTTTGAACCAGCAAGACCCATGTTTCCTTTAACAGTGGAAAGCTGGAAATGCCAGTTCCACCTTAACTGTGTGTTGTGCATTCCTCACCTCATTATTCAGTTTCCTAATGAACGCTCCTTGGATCACAAAAATCTCTTCCTGTTGGAGGTCGACTAATTTTCACATACCAGCAGTACTTTATGATGTGCTGTGTATGAGATTAACTCATCTAATAGCCCCATCCCCAGAAGAAACCTCCAAATCTTCATTTTCTGCTCTTTTCCACTGCCAGCTATGCTAATACTTGAACGTATAAAGGACAGAATAAAAAAGATAAAATTGAAGTAATTAGCCACCAACATCATCCAATTGTACATATACTTGGCAGTTTTTCAGGTACCTCACTTCCTCTGACTGCCTCCAGACTTCATTACTGCAACTTGTTCAGGCTCTGGTGCTCTCCTTCCACCCATGATGTCCTCAGTTACATTATCATTAAGTAGCTAGATGAAGTAGGTGATGTACCAAAGGATTATGTGGAGAAAGAGACTAAAGCTTAACAGCAGTAGAAAATGCTGATCTGCATAATTTAATGAGAAAGGTACCTCTCAAAAAACTTAAGGGTTATGTGGACTACAGAGGATGGGCAGGAAGGACACCTGAAGCCTGATGCTTTGAGAGTGGCAGCTGGATAAAACAACCCTGGAAATTCCTTACAGACCACTGAGAGAACCGCTGCTGTACACTAAACAGTCTTCTGATAAATAAAATTGAGCCCTAATTAACATAACTTATTGTTCTGTCTCAGAGCCCCAAGGCAGCTATAGTGCCTCCTGGGACACTTTTCTCTGCAACCCTTAGGGTGCCAAGTGGCTCTAGACTGTGTGGTCTGTTCACATGGTGGGCACTCAAGTAGCCCCAAGGTTAGGAGCCCTTTCCCCCATCAAAGACTGACTGAAAATGCTGACTTGCTTCTCTGTTTGGCCTGCCCAATTCCTACTATTGCTGTCTTCCAGGTACTTAGTTAAGGTAAGTAGCAGACTGAGTTCATTCAGGAAGGGATCTGAATGACATGAAATACCAGAGGTACCATTCAACCCACAGGACTCACATATTTTACAAACCCAGTGACATATTTTCAAATTTCTGATCATCTTAAATTGGTGCTTAAATAAAGAACTTCATTATACTAAAATCCACAAGTGCGCTGGGACAGCACAGCCCTATAACCATTGATAACATTGTTTAAATTTTGACTCATGTTCCAAAATTTGGGCACCCGAAGAAATATAAAGAATTTTTCCATGCTTTTTTAAAATGCAGCTGTACCTAGGGGCAACATGATAGCTACCAACACCCCACAAAGCATTTAGTTATGCAAAGTGAACATGAATATAATGCAGGAGATTGAGGAAGCTGTAACTGAAGCCTTTTAATATTTTTTCTTTGAAAAACCCAAGAGATTCTCTCAGTGAGGTAGAAGAGGTGGGAATCTGTTGCATTACTTATTTCTTATTCTCAAATGAATCTTCAAAACAAGTAAGGAGGACAAATCAAATTGCAAATCCTAAAAAAAATCTTAGTTTGTCTTTGATGGGCCTGTTGAAGTTTAAGCAACAGCCTAATACTTTAGTATTTATTATACTCTTTATTTTTATATTCTCAACACCCCCTCTTCCAGACCCTCTTTCTACATCATCATAAATCTTGCCCATCTCACTCATCAGCATTCCATTTGGACAAAATTATAAAAGGGTTAATATAAAAAGCATGCTTCCTGGATAGATTGCCTCTCTCCATTTAAATTCTTTCAGTGCTCAAGGCAATTTGAGTTTTAGTTGTACATTCATCATCAGAAATACATTTATACGCTGATTTATATTGTGGATAAAATGGTTTTTATTTGCATGTACATAAACCTATAAACTTTGGAATACATAAACCTGTAAGCTTTGGAATATTATTTGTGGGCTATTAAGAAGCAAGAAATTGAGTGTTTGGGTTTTAAGATTCCATCTGCTGCACTGTGATCAAAATAATATGCACTTAATCATGCGGCAAGTATATAAGCATGCATGCACGTTACCTTTTTGGCATTTGGAAAAAGCACAGGGATGAATCTGAAGTTCATACTTCCTTGCTGTATAAACTCGATCTGCATCTGGAATAGAACAAAATGCCAATTTTATTGTAATGACATGACAATTTTTCTCTGCATGCATCTGAACCCTATGTATAAAAACACTCCTTGCTTTCTTAAACTGCTCTTCTGTTCACTTATTTGATCTATTGCTGGTGGACTTGGTGTTGTTTAGTTTGACCACTTAATCTAATTCTTCACGCCTACAGAAAGGATACAGGAAAGATCTGTCAACATTTCTTGAGCATTTAGTTTTGTGGTGTGAAATAATTGTGGGTTTAGCTGCAGGTGCAATCCCATTAAATCCATCTCGAACTGGTGAAGCCGGAGTTGACTAACACCCCTGTTTGGCCTACAAACAGGTGAAAGACTTCAGCCAGAGGCCAGGTCGGCGTCTGAGCTAGGGTCCAGCCTGTTCCCCATGGCCCTGGACACAGGCATTCCAGGGGTGGTACGGACAGCAAAGTACTGCTGAGAGCTCATCTGCTGGTGACAGCTTCTGAGAAACCTGACTGCAGATTCAAACGAGGGGATCAGATGGGTTACAGTGAGAAAGGCAGCTAACTGCAAACCAAGGGAGAGAAGATCAGCTTCATGGCTCTATGGGCTCTTCTGGGCTGAATGTCCATCCTGTGACAGGCTGTGGAGATGGGTGTCTGGCTCTCTGGCACCGTGCACTCCCCAGGAGCCCCACACTCTAGCTCTGACCTTTGCTTCGCAATTCCATCCTTCACTCAGCTTTACCACTGCCTAAGAAAAGACCTCAGTTCCAGGATGGCTGAAGCAACAGGGGCTAGTTTAAAGGGAGGAAGGTCAGGCAGTGTTAGATAAGATTGTGCTCAGGGCTATACACGGGCTCAAGAAGGTGAAGGAGGGGAAAAACATTGAACAATAAAGAATATGAAGAAATAAGATGAGCACGTTTAATAGGATTTTTCTTCCTTGAACCTCTTAGCAAATGTTAATGAGCATACTGAGCTGATGAGAGGAAGGATTAATGAATTCCAAAGAGGGGTGTTTAACTATGGGGATTAGGGAAAACAAAGCAAAAGAACCTGCCTTTTGGAGACAGATTTGTCTTTTGAGAAGAAGAGACAGTTTTGTAAAACAGCAAATTCATGTCCTTGCTTACCATCCTGTGGATGTATTTAGTATGTAAGCCGTGTTCATCCCTGTCCAGCTGGGATTCAGCCCCTTCCACATCCTGTTTGTATTTTGGACTGATTGCTATGATTATCATCACCGTCTTCTGTTAGGGAGAAAAGCACTTTTATGAAATTGAGAAACGCAGCATGTTTGGTAGAGGCAGATCGGAAATCTGCCAGTTTGTGTTTTAAGTGATCTTTGTGTTCCTGGCAAACACAAGAGGATCTCATTCATTCTGGCAGGAAATACAGGAGAACTCATACACTCGTTCTCCTCATTATTTCTCAACATCTCAATATAGAAAACCTAAATGTCAAGAGATGTATTAGCAGCTACCAGTTGACACTTGGAATCCCTGTCATAAAAAGCTACTTTTATCAGTGTTGAGTGTCTATGTGCATACACAGAAAACTTTTGTCTTCAAATTCAGACCCAAATGTTTTCCAACAGCTTATGTAGAACTGCATCTATTTAGTCATCTATGGCTTTTTATACAAAAAGCTACTAAAGACAGTGGTCTGTGGAAACTACTTCTAGGGCTCTCAGTAGCAGAAATGACATCTTTTCTTGCTGATCTTACTGGCAAAATGTGCAGAGGTGGCTGTGCAGAGAGGGGGGCTGTTGTGAATGCTATGGGCAGATTTAGGGGTATCTGATGGCTCTGTCATGATGGGCTGAAGGCAATGCTCCTCCACATTGCTAGGACAGCCTGGATCCTGCCTCTGACCTGTTTAATCCCAGCCCCACACTAACCTCAGGTTTCCTTTATATCTGGGAAACGTCTCTCCTCCTTAATGGCAGGCCAGTTAAAATGCAGCAGATGAAAGCTTCCTACTTGTGCTTACCTGGGGCCTGCCTTTCATCCCCAGCACATCAGGCTGTGTAAGGCTTCCAAGTCTTACAGTCTGGCATGTAATTAACTCTTTCCTTCTGTGCTGTATCAAGAAAATCTGCCCCATCACAGGGTCAAATACAGTAAGGAGCCATTATCCCTTACACTGACTCAACATACTCCAGAATTACTTTTGCTTGTGCTTGACATGTGTGTAAGCATTTACAGATGTTGAGGGTTTGCAAGAGACATGCCCAGTTGCACACTTTCCTCTGCTTGTGTCCAAGCAGTCCCTTCTTCCACACACATGTAAGGGTTTTGAAGTTAGAAATTGCCTCTACAGTCAGTGAGGGAAACCAAACTTTTCTGGGGTGGGTAGTCAGTGAAAGATCCTCAGGTGGAGGCAGGAGACTGTTCTCTGCTCATACTGGTTTCTCTTACTGATTGTGCACAAGTCCCAGAGGAAATCTGCCAGCTTGGATTTTAAGTGATAGCGATGTTTTTGGCAAAAGCAAAGTCACCCTGTCTTCTGGTTTCATTACCTACATTACACACAGTGAGCCCAAGCCTAATTTGTCCTGATGCAAGCCCCAGTAGGCATGACTAGACTTCCATGGCAGAGGTCCCAGGCTGGCTCTGCATGCAGTTATATCATGCCTGCATGGACACCTGCAGGAAACCTGTGTAGGGCTGGCTCAGATGGTTGAGCTTCCTTGCTCAGAGTCCACCACTTCTGTCATCCTGTTCCTGAACCATGGAGATCTGGCCAGAGTGAGTCAGAGAGCCAGTGGCCACTCAGCAAGGTGAGAATCCAAGGAAGCCAGCCCATGATGGCTCCTGTCCAGTGACAGAATTGCCAGTTTGCACCCAGCTGTGCTGGTATAGTCCGACTACTTGGCTTGATCCTAAAGGAGATGTGCACTCAGTGCTCAGGGGAACTTCAGAGTAAGTTGTTGCTGCAAGGGACGGCACTGGTAGCAAGATAAATCTCTGTTTTACTGCTTAGATAGATACAAAGTGATGAGAGCAAATCTATGTATCAACCAAGAGAATATCAACTTCCAGTTTAAATGTAGGATGGTTTATCCAGAAGAACCCTTCAGCATTGTAAATATCAGTGTAAAAGCTACAGGTGAGAAGGATGAACATTAGCTATGACTATGCAGCCTGGGATGAAATATTGGTATCACTGTAACCAAGCACAGCTAAACTCCACTATTTTAAAAGGGGATGGAGGAACAACTTTTCCAATGGCAGCTTCAGGTTGGATGTAACAGGCAGCATTAGAATTTGGCAAGAATGCCACGATTAGCACTTCATTTCTCAAAGAAAGAGCTCTGGGACCATCAGATACAGATGGGAGTGAGATTTGCCTACACTCTCTCTGCAATGCCTCTGCCATTTCTACAGGGGCAGGGAAGACAACAGTAGGGTCTCGCATTTTCATTCTGTCCCTGCTGTGTATTAGAATAATTCAACCATTTTCCTCAGGTCACCTCTGCTACAAACAAGGTTAAATTGCCCTTACATACATCACCTAGGTAGCGCTCCATCCACTTAATGATGTCAATACCTCGTACCGTGTCCTCAAATATATCAATCTGCAAGAGAATGGAAGTCCATGATGAGCATCCCTTCACCCTTCCTCCCTGTTTTATGGCACTGATAGAGCACCTACTCCTTTCTTTATTTATGACAAGCATGCCCAATTTCCCTAGGAAAGCAATGTGTACATGCACTTCTGCCCTTTCCGTGCAGTCTGGAGCCAAGCTGGACGGGCAGCAGGCAGGCAGAGAGGCATTGCTGCAGGCACGCTCCTGGGCTCCCACTCAGCTGCCCCTTTGACTGGCTGCCCTGCCAGCCCCCAACTCCCAGGTATGTTTCACTGGACAGAAAAAGGTGCTGCCCACCTTCTCCATCTCTACAGCTGCAAATACCTGCTATTTTCTGACTGCAAGGGTATACTGAGTATGAAGCTTTAGCTTCATATTGAATTAAATATTCAGGGTGGTGGGAAGTCAGCCAGGTAACTGATAACTGGGTGCAGTCACCCAGACTTCAGTGACAGCAGAGCAGTGGAGGACTTCATAGGACTGAATATGACCAACACTGCTTGTTTCTTTGCACACCCAGTAAACCAAGAAACCAGAATCAGTGACTGTGACCAATGCAGTAAGTATTAACTTCTCCAAGTTTTCAAGATAAGAGTTGTGATCTGCTTTCAAGTCTTTCTTTTTCCCTTTCTCAATGCAGAGAGCACACTTGTTTCTCTGCTTTGGGGCCAATTTGCTGTTTTTATTATTCTGCAACAGGCTCCAAGAGTCGCCTGTCCAGCAAAGGTGCTATTAATGAGCCTTCTACTCTGTAAAGCTATGGTGCCCAAAAGCCTTCTTATGAATTGGTCATAGTACAGAACTGCTGGAGAGAAGTATAATCGCAGTCTCTGTAAAAAAATCTTTGATTCATGAAAGTAAATAAGCATGTGCAAAGCTCCCCACTGAGTCTCATTCAGTTTAATGATAGCCACTTGCTTAAATGCTTTCCTGAATTGGAGCCAAAGAGTGAAGGTTGAAGGGTCAGATAGCATATGCTCTTGAAATAAGAAAATATGAATCAAGATTTTGATGAACACTGAATCCTAGAGCCTCTGTGGGCCTCTAAGATGAAGCAAACTCATGAGAAATTCAGTAAAAATCTGAATGGCTTATGGGATTAGACAGCATGACACAGACCTTTTCAGTCCAATGATTTTTAGAATCCCTTTTAAAAGTATAACAAAGCAAAATCACTTTTAAAGGGATAACAAAGCAAACGAAACCATGAGATGGACTGTTTCATTAAGCTGTGTGAATTTTACAATCTACTTTTAGATCTTTTTTAGCAGAAAGTTACATCTGAAAAATCAATATTGTAAAAGCATTGGAGGAAAAAAAGGTAGGACGGGATGAACATAAAATTGACCTTTTGTAATACTGGTATTACATATCAAATATGAGACAATATTAATGGAATAGCTCACAAAACCTCATACTATTGCCCATCTGGTGTCACTAAGTGAAATTTTCCAGGGTCATTATTAAAACATATTCTAAAGCACAAAATTCAGTTAAAAGAAGAATAAACAAAAAGGCAGATCATTTAAATTACAGCTTGCAAAACCAAGGCTAGTTCATTCTATTTGTATCTTCTTTAGCTTACAAAATGTGATGATAACCAGAAAACATTTAAATGGACAGTGTATTGCCTCTGCTTTTTTTTTTTTTTAAAGCCTCTTTCCTAGTTGAAAGTCATTCTTTCTGGAAGGAATACTTACAGCAGTTTGAAATCCGTTTACAGACAGGAAGTTCACAAATTTCATAACCTCCACTGCTGTATCCACTGAGTAGGTTATAAAGACCTTGCCTGGGAGAGAGAGTCTGTATGAATATGTAACACATTTAAATATACTATTCAGAGGATGAGACTGTCACAGCCCTCCTTTAAATACACCATTCAGAGGGTGAGACTGTCACAGCCCTCCTTTTCCACCACGCTGCACGTTCTGCCCATTTAGGTCTCTTTGAGTGGTTTATGAAACGGATGTGGGATAGTGCAGTGGCTCAGTGTTGAAACCAACCCCTTGTACAAAACCCTGCTCTAGATTTGAGCTCCTCTTCCTTACTGGGAAGTTGCAGAGGATAAATAAATCCCTCTGCTGCTCCCCCTGCCCTGTGGCCAGAGCTGCTTTTTCTCAGTGCTTGGGCACACTTGAGCCTGGGCTCTCACCCACAGCTCGTGTTACCTGCACTGGCTGCAGCTGGCACAGCTTTCCCCAGACCTACTGATATGACAGAGAGCTGGAGGGGCCCTTATGCATGTTATACTGCCTCTCCTTGGAGCAGCATTAACCCCCTGTGCAGGCAGGATGCATGGCTGGTGACAGCAATGTCCTTGCCCTCGAGGGAGGGGTTTTTATGGATTTGCATCAGGGTAAAGCAGCTAGCTGATCTAATCCAGCTGTGCATGACCCTGTTTTACCCAGTTATTCCTCCATCTAGGACACACTAACTGATAAAGTAGGGTCTATCCAAGAGTGGCATCTGGTATCATACCTCACTCCTACAGGCCAGAGAGATTTGACTCTCTGGATTTGGAAGGTGATACGCAGAATGAAGAATAAAGGAAAAATCCAAACCCCAGAAGAGCTGTGGAGGGTTCTTAGCAATAGTACATCTCACCTACTAGTCAGCTTGGCATTCAGAAATAAACTATTTTTCTGAAACCTGACTTTCCCCTAAGAGTTGCAGGGTGAATGCAATCTGTGGTGGCAATAGAGGCATGTCAGGCAGAGCCTGTGCTGCTCTCAGCATGTTCCAGAGTTCTCGCCAAACTCACCAGTTCAGGGAGAAACTGAGGTCAAGGCTGAACATATTTGTCTGGTTTGGGACAGGGAGAAACGCTTTATCCCTCAGGCTTTGTTTGCTATTAGTCTTTTACTGTAAGTTCCAGCCCCTCCTGCCTCAAAGGGACTTCCTGTTTAGCAAGGAGTCATGAAAACAATCTAAACAGTATTTACTTTTCGTAAACAAAATAACAAGCAATTAATGAAAATTATGTTTTCAGGATTCAAGGGGATAATTCCATCCCACCCAACAGAGACACTCACACCCAACAGAAGTGGTGACACTCGGTACTTTCTTTTCTTGTTGTCTTTGTGTCTTGTGTAATTTCCCCCTGCCTTCTCCTCCCCCTTCACCACTCTGGAGCTCTCCCACCTAACGCTGTTAGGCTGTGCTGTAAAATCTTGCACAGAACAAATTTGCTAAGCACTTACGCAACTCCTCTGGCAGATTGCTGGTTCTCAGAGTTCCCTTGGCTGCAGGGTTGCTGAGAGGTCTCGGGACAGCAGCTGGAGATGGAAAATTGTCAGAAGGACAACCATATGCTTCATCTAGGCCACATGCCTTGGGAGGTAGCTGACCATTAGGTAGCTGGTTGTATAGCTGGTTTCTACAAAAAAAAGCAATGGAGAATTTAGAAAATACTTATTTTCAGACAAAATTCAGAATTTCTTTTCCTTTTAATAACACACTAAGAACTTTATCTGCATATTAGCTGTGAAAAGTTCTTGCAGAAATGCTTGGCTCAGCACATCTGCTTAGTTATTACAGTGTCTTTGGAATGGATACCTTGGTGACAGGCTACCACAAGAACAGTTTATCAGAGAAAGAACATTAATCACAGGAAGTAAGTCACATCATAGCTGAAAGCTGTTCAGCTTGCAATTAGCAAAGGCAAAAGCTATTTCTGAGTGAGAAATAATGGCATGTCGTGGATGTTGTTATGCTCATAGGGGAGCAGGGTGGCCCTTGGGTAACTTCTTCCCATTACCTAAAGGTAAAGAATGCTTCATGGAACCTCAGATGCTCTCATGATGTCCTGTGCAGCACAAGAGGCTCAGAGAAAGGTGGAAATTGGGAAAATGGGTCTACAAGGGCACTCCAGCTCCAGCTCTGGAAGGCCTCCAGTCTTGGACAAACCCAATGTATTGCCAAAGGGAACAAAGATAATTTCTTGACCAGCAATGGAAGACCCAAATGAGGGTTTCTCTTGTCAGGGACTGGCATTCCAGACCTGCAATAACTTTGCCTAATGTCTTCTCCATTGTAGTAAACTGGCAGAAAGGGATGATTTTAGGAAGCTTAGCAGTTCTTGTCCTACTACACTTTGGCTTCAGATTTTAAGTCAATGGGAAGGTGAATCTATAGAGATTTTTACATGAGGTGTGCTTGCAATGTGCTGGGTTGAACCTGTTGGATGAATTTTAGGTTTTTCTGGGAGCTTTTCCCCACAGAGCCATGATGTTTAATCAATCAAGACCACTCTCCTTTTTTTCCTTAGCCTTCCTTAAATGAATGATGACAGGCTGGTCGCAGCATGTTTTCTGTTGTCACATTAAGATTTGGTTTATTCATTTCGGTGCAGATGTTTTCTGTTACAAAATACTCTATAGGCAAATATTACCAACATATAACTGCTGTTCCTGGAGTCAGCCTGCAAGCAGCAGCCACGCAGCCACAGGACAGACCCCAAGTATTCTGGATCTCTTTTTGCAGAAGAAAGTACTAATAAAAACAACACATGCTTCATCAACGGCCACAAGAACACTACCCAGTGGCTAATTTACAGATCTTCCCAAAACTCCACCTTATCTAACAAATGTGCCAAAAATTGGGAGCCTGGTTTTAAATTTTACTGCTGGAAAGGATACTCACTACCCCCCAATATTTTTACATTTTCATACAAACTCTTCAGTGCAATTCTCCCTGCTGCAGGTACTCCTTTATCTTGCTATCACTTTTCTGCTACAGCCCTTAACTTTTCACAGGCCGGAGCAGAATATTTCAGCTGTCTGCCCTCTTTTGTCGTGCCCATTCTCACAGTTCCCTGCCAAGACCATGTCACATAAGTGGACATTTTCAAGCACAGATGCCTGTAATTTTAACAACTCTAGAAGTATTGTGGCACTTGAATAAAAACAGTCTGATTTCAGCTATTCTCAAAACCTGAAGTTTCAATTTGTTTTTAGATAGCTGAGTCTGAAGGAACCTCTTGCATGAATAGGATTTCCCATCTGCTAATGAGATACCTATAAGAATATAAGGCCTGGTAAACTAAAATTTGAAAATCAGTCAAAAAGCCCTGGATGAAAAGTGCCAGACATTCCGCTACGAAAAATTACAGAAAAGGCTGCAAACTGCAGTGCAGAGATATACCAGCAGCTGATGGGATTTTCTCCCTTTTTCTCTGTACCACAGAAGAGGTAAGAAAGAAATCACTGGAAGCCAGTGAGTGAGTTGTCCCAGGCTGGTACAGTGTAAAGCTGAAGATCCCAGCAAGCCACCAAATTGACCTTTGCCCGTGAGCAGGACAGCTCTAAGGTTTCAATTGAGATATTTTTCACCCCCTTATTCCTTTAGCCTTCAAGCATTTATCTTCCTTAACTCGAGCATTTCAGGGTGTGCTCTTAACAACGTATCAGGTATCCCGCTTTGAAGTCCTTCAGGAGAGGGTCAGGACCTCATTGGGTGCAAAACAGCAAATAAAGAAAACAACCCAGCATCTCACGTGTACTTCTGCAGCCTGGGCACGCTCACAAGTACAAGGATTCAGAATTACTGGTTGAAAGCCCACAAAATCAGATCAGAGGGACTTCCACTTCCCACAACCCCCACCCCCCAGTCATACTTACGGGAATCGAGGAGGACCAGGGGAGGAGCACGTCCTCTGGGGTAGTCGATCTCCAGCGCCTTTGGGGGCACGAAGGTTTGAGTAATTTGGGATGACTTGCTGGGCTGGGAGGATAACTCTCATACAAGGTCCAGGAACAGGAGGAAGTGGTTGCGATGGCTCTGCAAAATGTTGGTAGGGAGCTCTGCCATCTGGGAGGGTGAGAAAATGAAGGCAGCAACTATCATTTCAGCCAACACATTTTTGCCTCAGTTTGTGTTTATTCCTTTCCAGGCATGTCTCAGGAAACTGAGCAGTTTGGAGGCATTTGCAGGTATCTCGCTCTGAAAGAAGCCAGATGAAGGAATGTTTTCGAGTCTAACGCTTGCTATTTCCCATTCACATACGGCACGGTTCAGATCCCTGCTCGGGGTTGGGCTGTTGGGACAGCTGACAGTTAAACATTCAGGGCTGCCTTGTCCCTGCGCTTACCGTGCCTCAGTGTTTTTTGGTTCTGGTTTTTTTTTTTTTTTAATTTCTTTTTGGCAGTGACTTGTGAAAATGAATCATCCCAAAGTTCTCATGAAAGCAGATGCAAAATCCTGGAACAAATCAGTTTGCAACACTAAGGCTAAACAGACTGTGATTATCGTAAATGAAAAGAGGAAAAATAATCGCTTAGTATGTTACTTCACCCTGTGTGAATTTTCTGTCAAAGTGACATTTTAAGGACTTTCTGCTGCTCCCGTTGCCATCCAAGAGGCTGCAGGGGAAGCCCAAAGTGATAATTTTGCTCAAGTAATTCTGAAAACCTTTACTGTTACTGGCCACACGTAATACTGATTAATAACTATCGTACAGCGGAACTGTTGGCATAAACTGAAAGAGAAAGCAATGTAAGCTGTTTGTTTCCCAAATGGGGGAAAACGAGGTTTTTTTTTTCTCTCAGTCTTTCTGCTTGCAGTTTTCATTAGGCAGCAGCTCTGTGCACTTCCAAGCTGCTGTGTGCAGATCAAAGTCCAGCCTGGCAGGACTTATTAGCACTGCATGATTATGGTGTTATGAGCTGTCTCTAAAGCTGCAGTAGTCAAATGCTCTTTTCCCCCAAAACTGTTTTTTGAAATCCTTTTAGCTATTTTTGGGTCATTCTTTCCTTTCCCTAGCAGCCAAGAGGACTATCTATCTTTTTGGTTTTTTTAAGGGGAGGATAATGAAAGAAAACAAAGCTTTGATGAAATACTTCAATTCCAAATGCCAACACTTAAGAAAAAAACCCTCCAACCAACCCCACAATTGCACAGATTCCTGATGAAATTGTGAGTCAGCAACATTGTATTTGTTGAGATTGGTTTAGGTGATTTTCCCACCCCCCTCTTAACTATTTGCAAGACGACAGGGTGAAAGGGTCTGGGAGAACGATATCGCAAGTCAGTACGGTTTCCTCCTGGATTCCTCATGACCAGCTCTAGGGGACAGACAGGGGTCTGGGACACTCAGTTTGGTTTGGAGGTTTAAAGACCAATGTGTCACCAGCTTCCTTTGGATCTGTATGCTGCTACAGTATACTGGATGCAGCCACAGTTCAAAGCACAGCGTGGCCAGGCGTGTGTGCCCACACACCCCTACACCCCTCAAAGACAAATATCTGAAATAATGGTCCCCGGGCACACGGTATTGTTGCGAACATTTCTCTGACTTCAGAAGCAGTTTTGTTGTTGTATCTCAAAGCAGGTGCCCCAAGCCAGCTTAGAGCCTCTGGGCACAGTTGCTATTCCCCGGGGGAGGCGTGTTGCAACACACAAACTGCAGAGCTTTGTTGTGGGTTGCCACTGCCCAACAATTATCTGAGACACAAGGAGCTGTCAGGAGGTGATTTACGCTGTACCAGGCATACGAGAAACAGGACTGCAGTTGCCAGCTTCGTGGTCCTGACCAAACCTGCTCCAGCCGTCTGAGTTTATTTTACGCTTTTTGCCCTCTGGATATGGCTGGAATGGTAGTGATTTTTCTGAAGACAGCCTTTCAGAGTTCCTGCTTTCAAACAAAATGTCCTCATTCAGTAAATGTCCTACTTCTCACGATGCCTGCTTGCAGAGGAGGTAAATGGAGGTAAATAGTGAGGGGTGTTGTGCAACCAGCTCTTTGTCTGCTTAGAGCTGGACTGAAAGGAGAAGGTTCGAAAAGAAAACCAGAGGACATTGTCCAAATGTTAAGCTGTAGATGTTGGAAGTCCATCTGTAGCCCTTCCCCTTTACAAAGCTCCAAAATCAGAGTTGGAAACCAAGTTACTGAAACCCTCCTCTTTCATATACCTAATTACAGCACATTGCTGGAATGACAAAACTCCTTAAACAGATGCAATATAAATGCTATCAATGGAGAAAAAAAAAAAAAAAAGTTCATCCGAACAGGCCTACAGCTTTCTACAGCTTTTTATTACAAAGCCAGCCCAAAACAGGTCAGCCTAACGTAATATAAATTATATTAAAACAATGATATTGCTGTTGAATGTTCAAAGCTCACTTCATAACAGATAAAAATCTCAGAGACTGAAAAGGAATACTAATTAATAGCAGGCTGTAAACTGCACCGTAGTCTCCCAGAGCCAGAATGCCCATATTGAGGGAGTCACATCAGCGCTCAGTGACACAATCACCAGCAGCTGAGAGGGCTCCATTTTAAGTAATGAGCTTTCATTTCAGCTGACAACAGAAAAAAAATGAGGATGATGGATGTCACGCTCTTTTCACACAGAAATAAAACACTTTGGTGAGTCTGGTCATAGTGCTGGGAGATACTATTTATGGAGATCAAGGGTAGCCTCCCATCCTGATCCTGGCAGGAAATTCTCAACTTTGGGGATCCAAGGGAGAGCAAGGAAATCCATGAAAACAACAGGAATTGAGTCGGTATAGGAGGCTGCCGAATGACTGATGCAAGGAGGAAGGAAATGACTAGAATATGAAATAACAGCAGGGAGAAGCTGTGCATGCTCAGCGTGACCAACAAAGGCTGGTTTCTAGGCAAAATCATTCGCCTGCACTCAATGAGTAGCTGTGACCTCTTTAACTTAGAGGTTCAGAGGTTTTGCAGCAGAGAGTTCAGCCACATAAACCAAAAATCTGAAATTGTAAAATGGACTGCAATTAGATCTTTAAAGAGGCTTAATAATTGCATGCTGTGCTGGGAACACGCCCTTGGTGAAGGATGGCTGAGATACACCCAGAGAATTCCTGTGGGGCGAGAGGTGCTACTCACATGGGCCTTGGGGGGGCTGCTGTGCCAGGCACCGGTGCCTGAAGCAGCCGTGGGCTGGCGAGGGCGTGTTGGGATGGGGCAAGTGCTGGCACATAGGGCACTGCTGATGCTCAGGTCCCAAAAACTCTCTGGAGATCAGTGGTCCTGGGAGGTCCTGGGGGTTCAGCACAGACACCAGTGGTAATGGGGGATCCAGATGCCTGATGCCCATGACATCTTGTGACTGGGAGTTGTACCCTGTATCTACAGTCCCCAGCTCTGCCAGGAGTCTGTTTCCTGAGGGTTGCTGTGACTGTGAACTCCCTTGGCTGCTCCCCTCCAGTGAGTCCTCAGGAACATCAGACAAGATCTGCTCTGATTTACTGGAGTTGTGCCTGGGGTCAGCTGAAAGCTGGGATCTTGGCTGCATGCCTGGTTTGTCCATAGCTATAGAATGTGTCTTCGAGGGAAATACTCCTGATATTGATTCACCAGGGAAACAGAAGTGTCCACTTCCATCAGGATCAGTATATTTTGACCATAAACTGCCGTCTGGCTCCACGGACGGTGCTGAGTGATGATGTGCTGGTGCTCTGCAAAGGCAAGATGGATCTGCCTGAGGTGCTTGAACAACACATGGGCTCTGGGCCTCCTTATCCTCTATATCCTCTCCAGAAGGCTGCAAAGCCTTTTCCAAGACATGTTCAGGTAACTGGGACCATGGCATAGATTCATCCACTTCGACTGGTATGCTTCGACCCACAAAAGTGCCTGAAAAATTGAGAGAAGTAACACTGGAGATGGACAGCCACACAATTGAATGCCCATCATCCAACATCATTCAGTGACTGTGGGCTGGAATACTGAAGAGCAGTATGTATTCTTTATATTCTTTATACCTTAATGCTTTTTAAAAAGATGGCAGAAAACAGCACGAAAGGTCGGGCTGACTTTTGGCAAAACAAGAAAGTAAAGGGTTAGATGGAGTGAAGCTAGTAGAGAGTTATAATTTGGACTAACCTGACACAGAGGCCATTTCTAAATTTTTTGGTTGAACCGGAAGTGAGTCAGCTGCCTTACCACAAGGCCAGGATTTTTCAGCAAGCTGGAAAACAAGAAAAAGAACTCTTGTGAACACAGTACAGTTTCACATGGGCAATAATCCTAAAATAATTCTTAGACGCTAGAAGAGAAACAGCAGTTAAAGTTTTGGAGATTGTGTTGCGCAAATCAAATGGTTTTTATGGGATTTCTGAAGCCTGCTGTCCCTGCTGACACTGGAGGGGGCAAAAGCAGATGAACTGTCTTTCTGAAGTAGTTCTTGCACCTCACAGTAGATCAATCTGCTTAGGTCTGGAGGTTTTGTTTAGGCATAATCCAGGCAACACAATCACTTGCAATTATTTTACTCCTAACCTAATAACAGCTGATGCATTGGATCTAAACTTCACCACACACCTATATGAGTAATTTCATCTTGAAATCTTGTTTCCAAGTGCTGCTGCTTAATTTATTGTACCATTTCTTCCAGTCTATTATCACACGACTCTCATTATTTTAAATTGTTGAAAATTAAAAGATAATTTAGAGAGATTAGTTATTGGTTGGAATTTTTTGCTCTTCAGAACTGACTTGGGCCCAAAACAAAAATATCACTTCCTTTCGGGACTGCTATCAGCAAAATTTGGTTTGGCCAAGTGACTCCTGATGACGGACACCTCTGCTTCACCCTAAGTCAGGATGACAGCAGCAGTGATGGGTGAATGCTGAGCAGCCTTCAGGAAGTGCAGCCATCTTCATCCTCTTACAGGGTGCAGCTCAGCTTCCTCCCAGCAAATTCTCTCTCTTAACATGGAGTATAGAAAAATGAGCTTGGTGCTCATCATTTCCTCAGTCATTCATCTTCTATCAGATTGAAGAAGCTAAAATCCTAAGTAGGAGAGTTATCAGAGGAGAGGGGACTAAGCACTCAAGGAATGGGAATGACAACATTTGGCAAAAGAACCTGGCCTGAAAGCTTGGTAGAGAAAGTCAATGTTTGAAGAGCTTTTAGCGCTCCAAGGTTTTCTCCCAGCTTCAGTCACCGTATCCTGAACAAAAAAGTCAAACGAAGAACAAATTGAAATGTCTACTCTATAAAAAGAGTTGAACAGGATCACAGAGAGGTACAAAGCAGTGTCCTAGCCTTCATCCTGGCTTCCACAGCAATTCTGTAAAAGCAAATGTTGTGCTCCATGTTACAGGGCAAGGTTGAGGCTTTACATTTTTGCTGATCAGATCAAGTAACACGTAATTCCCCCTGCAAGTACCTCTGCCACAGAAAATTCTGGGTGTAACATTTGCAGGGAAGTAGGATATAAACTGTGCTTTGCTGCTGGGCTGCAATGTAAACATTCCTCCTCTATGTAACTTGAGCCCCATCTGTGCAGAAGATTTCATATATTCATACATACCCTATGTTATATTAAGCACATCCACAGGGAGAGTTATCCTGGGATAATTACAGTGGGATAATTACGCTGGTAAATTTTCCCATGTAGGCAAGTCCTCAGAGCAGCTATTAGCTGCACCAGCACAGCACACACGCTGCTGCTCCGACAGCTGCAGCCCCTGCACGAGAGAGCTGGGTCTGGTGCCAAACCAGCTCCTGCTATTCCAGCGCCCAGGCTGGAAAGGTGACAGTCAGCTCACCACCATCACGTTTCTCTCCCTGAGGTTTGCACCCCTTTTCCTCTACGCCAGGTTGCAAACACCAGCCAAGTTCGCTGAGTCCCGGTTTTCTGACGGGCATAACTGATGTGATGGCAAAGAGAAAACCTCGAGCTCTCAGCACCAGCACAGGACCGTGTCAGGGACGTGATGCTGTACTGTGTGGGAGTGGCAAAGCATCCTTTGCCCGGGACCTTTGGTCAGATGTCGGTTTAAATGATGACTGCCCTGGGGTGGTGACTCACCAGGGCAGTACAGCACAGTCAGATTTACACCAACCAGGCTGTAAAGCTGCTGAGTGGTCCCCTGACAGAGAGGCATCTGTGAAGGAGAGGTGTCAAATGCCCTGCAAAGCATCTATCTTCTGCTTACCTCAACAGCTTTGTAAACCTGACCCCTGGATCAGCTGGCCTTGAAGTGCCTGCTCAGACATGCTTCAACTTGTGGATATCTCAGTACGTTTGGATAGTAAAGGGAATGGCGCGCACTCCAGCAGCACAAATCTCTTTGCAAACTCTTATTTCCCCTCTGAGCATCTCCAGTAAACTGGTTCCTTGCTCAAAATTCACCCTGGTGTTCACAGAGCACAACTCAGCTGTGGACTGGGGTACAGCTCTCCCTCTGAAGGCCACATGCATTGTCTGATCATCCCTCCATTTGATACAATCCTTAGCAAACACGCAAACTAGACTTTTCAGAAACAGATTTGCAGTGCCTCATACACCAAGATACTGTTTTGATGGTCTTTCAAGTAGCTGGGTGAAAATGGTAGAAAACACTTTGAATTCAGATCCTCTATATTCAAAAGCCTTTAGTTTAGCACCATGACAAGAAGAACAGATTTCTGTGGAGAAACCGAGATCTCAATCCAGAGCTCAATGAAGTAAACGGAAATCTCTCTTTTGACTTCTGTAGGTTTTGGATTGGGTGTCAGATGGGATTTAAAAGTTACTAAATTCCTTTGGAGGCTACAACCTCCAAAGTTTTTGGTATTTTTTTAGTTCTCTTGCTAACATCTGCCTATCTGTAAGTGAACTGCATGAATCAAATGAAAGGGACAATATGGGCAAGAAAAACTCAGGTTTGCTTTCTTGAAGTTTGTTATTTCATGTATTTAGTTTGCCTTTTGGAGAAGGGAAATTCAGACTTTATTAAACTGTATTGCAAATCATCAGCCAGCAAACTCTTCAATGTCTTACTTCAGAATATTTCAAACGTGTCTTTCCTATTTGTTTAACCTCTGAATGGATAAACGCCTCTTTGTCTCCCAAATCAACTTAATATTTAAAAGACAGCTTTATTTCTTTCCTGGGTAACATGAACTTAAAAAATTACTCCAAATACTTGAGTGAAATAATTTGGTCAGACAGAAGAGACAACCAATTTCATCACTTATGCCTTTCCCTGCAAAAAATCCTAGGTTTTTTTAGATAGGTTTTTGCTTAAGCCCTGCTGAAGGATGGAAGCAAAAGCTGAGCTTTGACACCCACACACAGCCCCTGCTCTCACAGGGTTAAGGTAGGAGGCACCAAGGGGATGAGGTCTTTGGCATTAAAAAACTAGAAATGTGACTTCTTCCTCTTCCTCCCTCAGTAGCCCTGGCTGGAGAGACAAGCTGACAATAGCAGAGCTCTGTCTGTAGTGATGGCCCCAGGGATAAATGAACCCCAGGACATGCTGAACATTTTTTGAGCAATGCTGCAATGGCATGGGGATGGGAATTCCCAAGAGAAATCCCCACACTGCTGAAAATGTAACAGATTATTCAAAAACATCCTCCTCCAACAGCAGTACTTCAGGGTGTTATTTCTGCTCAGCTGAAGATTCTTGGCTTTTGGAAAAAGACCCAAAAGAGCCGATTATCCCTGTATTTTACATTGCCTTGTGCTGCTGAGTTTAATTTTGTTTCCTTTGACTTTTCTAGTTAGCTTATCCTGCAAATACAGTTAGGCATAGGGCAGAAAAATTACCTGCTTGGTCTCCTGTGTTGAAGAACTAGAGGAGGGGAATGCTTCAGCATACTGAAATACCCTCAGAAACCTGTAGCCTGATCCCTTTTCTGGCACAGAGGCTGCTGGAGAGCAGAGATCGTGCCCAACCTCATTTGGAAAGACACTGCAACTTCAAGTCAGTTCATGATACTGCCAGAAAACGTCAAGAATTTAATATCCCCCCTGCACCTCTGACTATTCAGGAGATTACTGATAACCAGCTGGAGCTGTTGCATATATTTCTGCTTGTAATAAAGTGAGGAGGCCCCTCCTAGAGGGACAGAACCTGGACTGCTCCCAAAAATGTCAAGGGAACTCCTTAAAGCACTCTTTCCTTCCTCTCCTTATACACCCAGTTCTGCAGTGTGCATTAATTCAGCAAATAACCTTTGTGGGTGGGTGCTTAGTGATTCAGGCTCTTGAGAAGAGCCCCTTTCCAGCTTTCTTGTGAGGCTTCCCACAGCCAGAGAGCTTCTTCCTCTGCTTCTGCTTGATTCCTCTGCTTCTGGGGAAGCCACCCAGACCTCCTGCTCACAGCCAGCTGCTGCTGGCCATGGCCACTCCTGGAAACCTCCAGGGAAGGCATAAATGAAGGGGAGAAAATTCTTCTGCAGATCAGTAGAGATGGGCCTGAACACCCAAGTGCTTTGAAGAAATGGATGAAGTCCCCTAAAAATCCTTCCATGGATGCAGGGAGACAAGGGGAAGGGTGTTGGGCTCAGCTTATATGTGCTATTTTCTTGCAGCTGATTGCAAAATCCGTCAGGTATTTATTTCATCTGTTTCCCAGCACAAAGACTTGTCAGGATGCGCTGTCCCAAAACACACACTAACCCATCTATCTGCTTTTGATTAGAAACCTTCTGTCATGAAGAAACAGAGGAGAGAGAGACTGCAACACGAGCATGGTTGTGCTCTCTGCCACTTCTGGAGAGAAGGAAAATATCTTTGCTCTTTTGATCAAAGTTTTATTTGTCTACCTTGTTAAAACAGAAAACATCACAATGAGAAAGAAACCTCACCTTCCTTGGTGCACAATGGTCAAGGACGGGTTTTTTTCACCAGTCACAGCATTTCTGAAATGGCATGGGTAAAGATTAAGGCAAAGCTGACATCACAAAGGGTGAGGACAGACAGGAATTTCTTGATTTCCAAATAATTCCTGCGTACTTTGGCTGAATCCCTTAAGCTCACTGGTGTTGCTTTTATCTATCTGCAGGATGGGAGTAAGTGGGTGCAGAATTTGCAAGCTGCTGTGAGGATGCACATGCTGAGATCCAAGGAATGCTGTTGCCATGGGGTGAGATGAGCATTAGCATGCAAGAGCACTTGGTGTAAGTGCAGCTTTCTCTACAGAAGCATTAGTCATAACTTTCTTCAAAAAATCCCAGAGAGAAACCCTTACAGGAGGAACAAGTGCAAATGTGGGAACTGGTTTGGGTCTACAACTTAAATAAGCACTGCCAAGGAAATCCAAGCTCCAGAGTTTCACACTTCACCGTGAGAAATTTTGGCTGCTGTCATCACGGACGCTGACCCTCTCCCTTGGGTACCCTCCACAGCAAAGACTAAGGCAATGTGTCACATTCCTAGCCCAGACTTTTAGCCCTCTAGGGCAGGTAATGTTTATTTTTATGACTTATGGAAAAATTAGAAAAAGAATATGGAAACAGTGTTCCTCTGGCTATATGGTTGCTCTCACGTATTTTCTGAAGCCATGGCAGGAAAATCTACGTGTGCCAGGAGAACATATTTAAAATCCTGCCTGCATGGCAAACATCACATTCTCTTTCGCAGCACTAAAGCCGCTTCATTGGACAATCCATGGTGCAAAGGCTAGAGCAGACCTGATATTTTTTGCCTTTTTAGTGTAGACATTGATATGTTGGAGGAATGCTAGGCAGTAAGTGGTAAGAAACTAGAAGGGGTGACACCCTCTAGCAGGATCCAAACAGGCATCTCAGATATAGGCAGCACTCCCTGCTAGTTTTCTAAACTTTGTTAAATATGAAAATGTCTACAATTTTCTTTGGTATCCTTAAAAATATGATTGTTTTCCAGAGGCTACTTCCCACCCATTTCTGGTGCTGATAAAACACACACAGGCACTTAAGAACTCCCAGTCTGGGATATTCCATGGCCCTGGAACATCCAAAATTCCTGTCACAAAACTGGGGCTGGCAGCATCAATTTCCTCAGCCTGCTTTCCTGTAGCTTCATGCCTTACACTGAAGATTCTGGTTCCTAAAGAACCCCTGGTATTTCACAGGGCTGATGTCTCTCCCATCCATAACCACTCTCCCTGCTCTGCAGCTCGAGGGCTGCAGGGTGCGTGGGTGGTGGGAGGGGAGGCCGAGGGAAGCCTGCGGGACCTGACGTGTCTCCCTCAGCTGGCGTGAGAACTGCCTCGCTCACTTGCAGCCATGAAACGTGCAGAAATGTGTGTATCTTTCAGACATGTACCCTCTGTCAAACTTCAAAAGCCACTGCTGGGGCTGAGGGGGCACTGACAGACACGAACACCATAATTGCACATGCCTTGCTTCCTGCCTTAGGAAAGCAGAAAGAAAGCTCAACTCCATTGGAAAATAAAAAAAATACAGCATGCTTCCAGGCACTGCCAGCATTCTGCAAGGGCAATTCTGGCTTCAAAGGCTGATGGCATTGCAGGCAGCAGCACCATCGGCAGCCACCCACATCCCTGTCTCTGGCATCACCTGCTGTGGGTGTCACAGCAACATCTGGTCATGGTGGGACACTGGTGTGGCCAGTCCAGACCTTGAATCCACCTTAGGCTTGCAGGAAATGGGAATTTCTGGTTTCGGGGTCGCTGGTGGTGGTTGAGGACCACTAAGCCCAGACGTGCCAATCACAGTGCCCAGCCAGTGCTAACCCTACAAAACGTGTATTCTGAAACTGGATGAAGTGGGAGCAGGTTTTATATGGCTCATTTTATACTAATAGGGAAAAAAAAAATACTACCACCTTGCTCCCACTTGTTTCTGTGCCAAGGCTATAGAGGACGGTGCAAAAAGGGTCTGTGATCCTGTTTTCTTCATGCCTTGCAGCCACCTCTCCCTCACCAGGTCTGTGAACCTGTCCTGTGCAGGCCCAGGTCAGCTGGGGAAGGGAAAAGGAAAAAAGGGGAAGGGAAAGGGAAAAGGAAAAAAAGGGAAAACAAAGGGAAAAGGAAGGGAAAAGGGAAGGGCAAGTGGGAGGGAGGAGAGGGCCATCGGACAACACACCACCTTGAGCCTGCAGAGCCGGGTAGGGCGGGAGCGGGATCGGGCCTGGCCGCCAGGCATTGCCAGGCAACTACGTAAATAGGCAGGACAACATTTCGACACCAGGCGTGTCCGTCCCCAGCGTTTACCCCAAACCCCTCCTGATTTAAAAAAAAATAAAAGAATAAGAATCAACCAACAAAACAAACTGCAGCGAAATGGCTGAAACATGTTGCAACCATCTGTGAAAGCCGGGCCCTCACGACACGAGAGAGGGGGGAGAAAGCGAGCGAGACAGCAATTTGGGAGTGGGGGGAGAAGCCCCAGCGAGAGCCAGGCGTGGGTCAGGAGCTGATGGCAAACAGGGGCCGAGAGAGGCGGCACCTCGGACACTTCTTACCTTGCGGGCCAGGGAGGTTCGCGCTGGGCTGCCCGAGGAGAGCGAAAGGGCTGCGCGCCTCCTGCGCTCCCCGCCGCGCCCGGGGCTCCTTCCTCGGCCGGCCGGGCGGCTTTCCCTTGCTTTTACGACACCCTCCCTTGCCTCTCCCAGGTAAGCGGCAGAACTGGCTCTGCAGCAGGAAGTGGAAGAGGCACGCAGGGCTCAGCGCGGCGGCGGGAGAGCCTCCGTGGGGGAGTGCCAGTGCGGAGCTCGCAGCAGAGCCCTGGCAGTGCCGGCGTGCGGCTCGCTGCCTCTCCCGGGAGAAGCCGGGCGGGCTCTGCGTGAGGCCGCGGATAAATAACTCGAGGGGAACTCCGGTGTGATTGCTAAACGGTGTGCCTCGGGAAAGTCATCCCTTGCTTTCAGCCCTCGGTCGCGTACTGTCAGTGCCGAATGTTAAATCAGCTGTGATTCAGACTACTGAAGACCATCACATGATGCGTGTAAGAACTATATAAAGAACAACATAAAAAGGATTTCTCGTCTGGTTCTTTCTTTCAGGTTCGATTTCACTCTCAAGGAGCAGAAACTCGCTTTTCCTACAAGCTGAAACTTCCGTATTCTCACGACTCTGGAAAGCCGAGCAGCTCCGGAGATGCCCAGTGAGCTGCCCCAGGAAAGCCTCTCCGGCCGCTTTTGTCCCAGCCCGCACCACTGTCCTGACCCCCGAGAAGCTCTTTCTGATCTCCAGCCTCATTTTCTTACTTTAATCCTAGAAGGAGTTCACTTAGCTGCAGCCTGGGCACGACTCCTCATCCTCCAAGTGACCATAGGTTGGCTCGATGCCTGGCAGGGACACCTAAACCATCCCCCAAGCTCCTGGCTCTGGCAGTGCCACCCCTGCCCCCTCCTGTGCCCTTCCTGTGCCACCGGGGGCGGAGGAAGGAGCCACATGCACAGCATTCCTGCCCCCGGGAAGGGCTCTCTCTGGATGCCCACCGCTCTGCCAGCCCCTCTTTCTGCTCCAAAAACAAAGCGGTGACCCAGGCAATTATCTCCTCTCATCAGGGAATGACTGCCCACATTTTTGGAGGGAAACCTCAAGCAGCTGGGAGCAGCATGCGCCCCCAGCCGAGCACCAAGTATGATTGTATTGATGGCAGTGCAGTGATGCCCTGCAGCCTGGGCTTACTTTCCCTCTAGAGAAACCTCACATCAGCCTGGCCCTGGAATTGGCCATCCTAACCACCTCCTTTCCTGCTTCCTCCTTCCTGTGCCAAGGCAAAGGCCAGCAGGACACCAGGGCTCCCTTTTGGAGCATCCTGAAGTTGTCCTTGACTGCTGCTGGACTTCCTGGATAGTCTTTGCTGGTTCCAGCCAGACCCAGATGTGATGAGCACTAGATGCTTGTGGCTGGAGTGGCTGCATTATAGCCACAGTCATTTGAGCCAGCTGAAGGTTTAATCCCTCTGGCCCTGGCCTGGCCTCTGATGCACAGCTGTTTTGTACCATGAACACCCTGACATCTGGCATTTTCATCAAGGCTGCCTGAGCCCTGAGTTGCATCACACTGGGCTTAATGGCTGCCTCTCCTTCCAGTTTTCCTACCAGCCTCCTGGTTGGCAGCAGTGGTGGCTCCACTGCCACCTGTGTGCCACAGTGTGTGAGGGCATGGCCACACAGGAGCCAAAATCAGGACCTTGGTGAATGTGCTTGGTGAAGGATGGAAGCAGGGAGGGAGAGCTGCCTTCCTGAGATGTATGTGAGGGATGTATGTAGTGTTTGCTGTGCGATATCCAGCTCCTCAGGGAATGCAGCCAGATGGGGACTCAGCAGGAAGTGTCCCATGGAACATTGCATCTATACCCACATTTGTGGGGTTTCTTTGTAAAAGGCTCTGCTATGGAGTCATCAGGCACCTCCCTTCATGCAGTGGATGGCCTCCCTCACTGATAATGGATATGGACAGTCCTCTGTTCTCCACTGGTCAAACCATGGACATTGGTCTGTAACATCCAGCAAACAACAGTGTGGACTTGCCACCCCTGTAAACAGCTGCCAGTTGGCTGGGAGAGGAAGGTTCTGGCTGTGAGATCTGTCCCTTGTGTGAGGACTTCCAGGTCCAGAAACATGGACACCTAATGGTGTCTGCAGATGTGGCCAAAGAACCAGTCTTTGTCCCCTCTTTAACTTGCCAAGCCACAGAAAACAGCAGATATTTGGAGCAGTTTCCTCTCACTTGAGCTTTATGTACTTTATTAACAGCCTGACAAAGACAGAAAAAATAGCTTAACAGTCACACTCTGCTGACTGTTAATAGCACTGTCTGCCGAGTGGGTTTCAAAGGTCCAGCTCAAACCTAAGTACCCTCCCACAAAGCTGTAGAAACTGCTGTCAATTAACTAATTTTTAGATTAGGAAACTTGGACAACAGATACCCAAGTTTATTTCAGCATTTCAAAAACCTCTCTCATCCCCCAAACTGAAGCCATCGTAATTGCCTTCTGAAGGCCTCTTTTATATATTTGAAGTCTTCCTACCCTACTGACTTCTCTCACTGAAAGACAGATAAAATTCTGAACTCTCTAAAGTTAGTATCTCATCTGTACATTATTTACAAGCAGAATGTGATGAGTCATATTGGGCTTGTCATAGAAAGGACAGATTAAAGTGCAGGATGGTTTTCATTGGCAAGGCAAGTAACACGGACCTTTATTTTTTTCTAAAAAGGTTCCTAATCCTGCAGGAGTTGTAATATTTCTTTTTTCATTAGGAAGAAAGTGTTGGTATCGAGTGCCCCTTCTCATATTTCCTACCATATCTCTGTATTTGGAGAAATAAATCAGGAATGTTTTTGCTTCCAAATGATTAACTGTTTAAATAAAGCACTGTCATGTTGCTCCTCTTTTAACATTGGTGCTGTGAATTAACCTGGAGACATTGCAGCTAGACTTTAACTCCCTCTGCCTCAGCATAACTTGCAGGATGGTCTCACTCTGGCTCCCTGTATGTGGCTTGTCCCTTGCTGGTTTTGCACTGTGAGGAAAACCGGGGCTTTCTTCCATGCCTTGCTGTTTACATTGCTAGGCATGTGTCTGCAGAAATATTTCCCACTTACTTTATTTTAAGGCTCTTGCTTTGACATTTTTCAGTCACACCCTGGAGAGACACCTGAAAGGAAAGAAAACAGTACCTGGATGTTAGCTTGTGCGATGCTTATAATTAAACCCTGCATAATGACAAGAACCCCTCCTGCCATTTGTTAAGATTTTCCCCACAGCATTATGTATCCTCTTAATTAAGAGCAGAAACTAAGTAATACCTATTTTATTCCCTCTTGTGTCCAATTAGTCACCCATTGATCATTACCCACTCAACATTTGACAATCAACAGAGCCCCCATTCTCCACAGGACAGGGATGTGCAGTCCTTCAGAAATGACACATCCAGAAAAAAGTGAGGGGAGCTGTGTGGATGAGTAATGGGGCAAGAGGTGGGGGGGAAGGGGAGGAAAAGGCCACCCAAGTGGAACAAAAGACATGTAACATATGCAAATGTTCAATATGTGGTATGTGTTTTATACACTGGATGTATATGAGGTCATAGACAAAGCTCAGCTGGCGGCTGCACTGCTTTTGGGAGGCATGGGAATTTGAGGGAACACTTGAGCTCTTGTGTGATCAAACCTACATAGTCCTCTCTCTTTAAGACACAAAGCTGTTCCCCATGTGGCTCGTTGCCTTTGCTTTTTTAGGAGGGCAGGATTTAGCATCTGCTTCTCCATTGTCACTGAGACTGTGGGCTGTAGCAACACAGCCCTGGCCAAGTCACCCCACGACCTGTCAGCGGGTCCATGCAGTTGTGCCTGAGCTGCTGCCAACAGAGCATGGCAGCTCTGGGTGTCTGAGGGACCTCCAGGGAAGCTGCATTGCCACTCTCTCCTGGAAGCCTGTCCCAGGAACAGTGGTGGCCCAGATCCTGTGTGGTGCCAGGAGGGGTGTGCTGGGACCTTTCCCAACACCAGGGACCCTTCCTATACGAGTAACATCTTCTAGCTGGGGAAATCCAGCAGCCTGTGGGATTGAGAGGCAGCCCAGAGCCTGAACTGCAGCAGTGAATAAAGCACAGAGAATACCAGGGCTGAGCCCTAACACTCACAAAGCAGTCCTGCATTCTTTTTTCTTTTTCTTTTTCCGTGTTAGAATCCATCCATTACAGGGCTCAGGAATTTTGTGTGAAGCTGTGACAATAGGTAGCAAACTTCACAAGGCTGTGGGTGCAGGAGCTCAGCAGCAAATGCTGGTGCGCAAAAAAGCAAACCAGAGCCCTTGGCAAGCTCTAGCCTGGCTGTAGGGGAAGGATAATCTCATTTCTTTACTCTTTGCCCTTTTAGCTATTCACAGAGCTTAATGCCGACTTATGAGCCAAACAATCAAACTTCCATCTGGCCCAGTCAGGCAGAACCAACACTTGCCTCGCAGTCACAGACCACACCAATCCCATGATTTTTTCCCCCCATCTCGAACATACCCTATTTTCCTCTGCACTGTAACAGAGAAGATATTTACATTTGGAAGCAGAAACCGCAGTTCATGCTCCTCAGCCTGCTCTAATCTCATCACCCAAATCCCTGGGCACAAGGAAGCACAGGCGCTGTGAGCGCAGCTGGTGCTGCAAACACAGCTGCTGCTGCAACCTTTGGCTCTGCCTCTCCACCACACGATGCACTGCCTACCAGCTAATGACCTGCTTTTCCTGGGAGGGCAGTTCTCTCAGCACTCCTGCACACTCCTGCTGCAGGCTACAAACTGCAGCCATGCCCTTGGGAGAAATGTTTCCTCTCCCCCACTTTAAAATCAGCTGCAGGCTACTCATTGCAGTAGCCAGAGACCCCCAGACAGCATCTCTGGGCTGTAGCAGCAGTGCTGTTGCTACCATCTCTCCTGGTTTTAGAATAGGGATTGTAACAGATCATGTAGTGGGAACCAGCAGGGGAGGGAAAAAAAAAAAGGAAAACAACAACAAGAAAAAAGAGCAGCTCTTTTGTTGTTAACAACATTTTGTCCTCTAATCTACTCGTGTCCCAGTTTTACATTTTTGTTAAGCATTCAGCTACAGGGGAGGAATACAAGGAGATAGATTGATGTTTGTGTAGGTGTTTTTATGTGTGAATTTCCTTTTGCATTACAGAGAATAGTATACACACACACAGATAAGAACAGGCTCCGTATTAAAAGTCAACAAAAAATATCTCACAGATTTAAGGGAAGCCAGCATTTCCTCTCTAACATTCAAAATGAACCTCAGCAGCCTGGTTTTAGCTGTCAGAAGTTCTGAGAAATTTAGAAGCACTGAGAGGGAGACACTAGCACCCTACTTGTGGCAATCCCAGCAAGGGGCCTCTTTTCTTTTTCTGTAGAAAGGACACAGGTTCTGGTTTGGTCTGTGCAGGAAAGTCTGAAACTAAAGTGCTCCTTTCTTCAGTTAAGATGGCAAGGAATGCTGCTCCAGTTGACAGGAGTCCCCTTAGTGATAAAATATCCCTGTGTATGAGTCACAGGAAATTATAATCACTGCTTTCCAAGACTGCAGAACACAATGAGATTTCTGAGCTACAAACAGACTTCAATTATTCTTGAAAGACAGACAGACCCTCAAACTGACACGACTGGAGAAAATAAATATCCTTTTGTCTGCACTGCTGGTGGTAATTTCCCATTAGACAGGAAAAGGCTTCTTTGATGAATGAATATTGTCTACACTTTAGAAGAGGAGCTACTGTATATCTCCTAATAGCTCTTGCATGCTTGGGCTCAGCTTTGTGTGAGGCCCTTAAACCCCTTGAGTACAATATGGTAGCGTCCATTAGCGTTCTGCATTTTTTATTTCAGCACTTGAGAAAAGGATGGTGCATGTTAAAACAGATTTGAGCAACTTTCCACTCACCTTGAAGTTATGTGGCAAGATCAAGATATTTAGCAATCTGCCTTCTTGGGCTGCAGGTAGTCCTTTCCAGTCTAAAGGCTTCAGGAGAAACACGCACACTGGAGACAGATTTTCCATTTGTGATTATTCTTGTAATTTTAGCAGTTAATCACTTTTCTGTTTTGTATTTACTTTGTTTTTCTACAGTGGTAATAAAATCAAAACGAGAGCGTCACCCAGAACTACATTGAGCATTGTTTACAGAAGCCAAAGAATATCACGTTAGTGCCTTTGACAAACTTTTGTCTTTTCCAAAGACCACCAAGTCTCACATAATTGCCTTCTCACAGAAATATAATAACCATACTAACCATCCTTTTCGCAGCAGGGTCCCATTTCCACCTGCCACTTTTCCTGAGATCGGTCTTGGATTAAACTTGAGTTAGAGATGCCGGTGTCACCGCATGGAGTCATTTCTGCTGCTGGTAGGTCTTCTAGAAGACCTCTTCTGGAACTCAGCCACCACACCATGGACTGGTCGGGAAACAGGTGAGCTGGTGGGGGGAGCATTTGGCCAATTGTTTTTATCTGGGTGGAATTTATTTAGTCCTACATTAAAAAATTGTCAGAAGGAACAGAAGATTCTTAATCTCATAAATTCTGCTTTTACAGTCACCACACAACTACTTGTGGTGTATACACCGTGCTTAAGAAAAGGCTTTTATTAATTTATAGCAAAAAAACCTAACAACCTTGTTTAAATTTTTTGCTAATGTTTTTATTTGAGAGATTAAAAAACCCAAACAACAAAACTCCCAACATTAAGAAAAAGAAGCAGAAGAGCTACCGATGAGAAATGGTCTGGATTTGCCACTCAACGGTGGCACCAGTCTGCACACAAGCCAGCTGCAGGCAGAGATCCGGCAGAGACCAACATGGTACTCAGAGACTGAATGCAATACAAGAAACAGCAAACCCAAGAATCAGAAATAAAGGCCATAAAACCCCAACAATGCCCCATCTGAGTCTTACTTCCAATGAGAAGCATAGGCAAACTAACGTTTTAGGCTCGTCCCGCATTACAGATGGAAACTGCACTTAAGTTTGTGGCATAGCAAAGGCTGCTAAGGAACTTGGCAGAATGGCCACGCTTCACCACCAGGCTCTGGGCTGAGGAGGTGACATTTTGGCTTCACCAGCCCGCTGAGTTACTATGGAGTCCTCAGTTCCATGGATGATATTTTAAGGCAGGGGGGTAGCTGTAGGAAAAAAAAGAGGGCCACGACTTGCTTTGTAAGTACTAAGAGGAAGCTAGAAGTCCAACAAGGATCATGGCCTCTTCAGTACTCCACAGCTACAGGTACAGCAACATTGAATATATAATGTACATAACATTACTTATAGACTCTACATGTAAAACGTTAACCAATTTATCATGGAAATCTGGTAACAAGCAACATTGCCATATAAATTCACACTTTGAGAAAGGCTAAGTGTGGAAGCCTCCTTTGCAAGAGGATTTTCAGTCAAAGTTTTGTATAGAAAATATTAAAACAATGATGACAATTTGTTCTCTGAATCTCAATTAATTATTGGGTTAGTTTTCACAAATGAAGAAAGATTCTCTTTAGAAAATGTGTGAATCTTCAGAATATGAATTCACTATCTAAGTACTAAATAATTAAATAAAAAAAAAGTCTCAACTGTCAGGAAGTCTTACTTGGCCGCAATCTTTTAAAGCAGTAACAGCAATACAAGACATAGAAAAGCTTTTCCTGCAACACTTGTAAATGTAAAAGTATGCATGTTAAATGCAACAGAACTAATAAAGAACAAACTGCTGTAGAAGAGAGAAATGAGACACTAGCTATGCATTCAGCCATCTTCCTTACAGTTGAACTCCAGCTACTTAAAAACATATTGACTTCATAATTTGGAAAATGATGTCCCATAGGTAACTGGTCTGCATACTCCTATGAAATATGATGCTCCAAATGGCATGACACCCCTTCTTGAAAAGTTTTTAATCTCATGTCCACCATTAGCTCCACAGTTTAAACAAAAAAACAACTATCCAAATGTAAAATGCTCTTTTTTTTTAATTACTAAATTAAGAAAGTTAAACAGTTTTAAAATGTAAACTTGCGAATAAACCATAACAAAATGTAATTAAGACTTTAAAATTTGCAACTCAGTATTAAAAACTCAATAGAAATAGAAAGGAATTTTTTTGTGTTTTTTGGTTAAACGTAAGTAATTCAAGGCTGGTACAGACAACTGAAAAGGTAATACTTTGTTCTGTGCATCCCCCATGAAATGTAAAGAAGTGCATAGTAATTCCACTGGAGAACTTGCAGACACAGAGAAAGTAATTTCATTAGCAGTACATGACACTTAACACACTTATTTTACAATGGAAAAATGTTACACATAAAACAGAAAAATCCTAGTTGCATGACCAACAGTTTAGCAGGGGGACATGGCTAAAATGCTATTATTTTAAGACCATCTGAATGTGGTTACACTGCTTAATAAATCTTTTTGAAACATTTCAGTATACGTGTTTTGATACAAGAAGTCCTTGCAGTTTCAATTTTCCAGTTCAAACGGTGATGGTGTAGTTTTCTTGCTTTAAATATGTTGGTTTAAATTTCAAGAACAAATCATCACACACTTCTCAAACATTGGAAACATTACTGTAAATACAGCACGTGATTCCTGAAAGAGCAAAGTTACAACCATCTACAGGTACATAATCATAAACAAAAAGTGCAATCCAATTTAAAAAAATCATGCTTGGCAAAAGCCAAAAATTAGATCACTGGCTTTCAGAATCCCACCAGTGTTTTCATGTCTGCAGTAAAATTATCGCTTTCTGGGTACAGCTGCAGCAGGATTCATTCAATTCCAAATGAGCCTCCTCTGCAATAGCACCCATATACTGTATGTACAGGTATGTATATATATTATATATATTTTATATATAAAAAAGCAAAAACCCAAACACCTGTCCTGATTTTTTATTTGTTAAAACATGAAAAAAAAATGTTTTAGACAAAGAGGCCACTTCTGGAAAATAATACTTTTAGTTGAATCAGGAGAAGACTAGTTAAAATCACATAAGTTTTGCATTTTAAAAAAAGGAAAGCACTAGGATCAGTTATTGGCACTGAGTTACTATTTACAATGATCAGAGGTTTTGCAGTTTACATAACATCAATACAATGCAGTTTTGGAGTCTCTGATTAAGAAAAAACAAGTGTTTTTCTCCTTTTCATCCAGGACATTCAGATTATTAGGACAAGTGGTCATAGGCAAGGGCTGTGGAAGTTCCCAGCTTCAGCCCCTGCTGTGCACTGCAGTGCTGGAAGATGTTGCACTCTGGAGAAGCTGTCACAGAGCTGGAAGGTGGAGAGCAGGTGGGACGGGGCTGAGAAACACCTGGTAATTCATGAGTGTCTGGAAACAAGGGATTTACAGGTTGTCACCGGGCTGGTACTGGGGTTCTGTTGCAGTGAAGTAGTCTTCAAGAAAACCCTGTAAATATTCAAAAGTTGGACGCTCCTCTGGGTCTTTTTTCCAGCAGTGAATCATAAGCTCATGCAAGGAGATGGGGCAGTCCTGAGGACACGGCATCCGATAACCTCGTTCTACTTGCTCCAAGACTTCACGGTTATTCATGCCTGTGAAGGGCATACAAATCCACAGTAAATTACAGAAAAATTAACTAAGGGTAATTGTATCTACAACACATGTGGTTTGGTCAATCATACCAATTTCTTTTGGTTAAAACAAGTTAAACACAACCACACTGACGTCCTGTTCAGCTCCTCATCTACTGCAAGGTAACCTGGATTATTTTAATTCTCAGTAGAAGGTTTTAGGATCCAGTGATGAACAGAACACTGCTCCCACGGTTGGCCTCTTGGCTTACTCACAATGGGCAGGATTTGGTGCTTTCCCTCTCTGACAGCAGGAGCCGTGAAGTTTAATATGTGATGAGCTTAAGGAAAACAAATGCATTGCAAAAAATGGAAAATGCAAAATTCTAGAAATTAAGATGAGTTTCTGAAATCCTCACACTGAGCATGGGCCTTTCTGAAAGCATTAATGCTGCAGGGACTTCAAGACAAACTCTGCTACTCCTGGTACCAGGGTTGTCCAGCAGCATTGCCTTCAGTGTCATCCCAGAAGCTTATTGCTTCTGACCTGAGCTCCCTCCGATCTGTGCTGGTTAGTACGGTTTCTACCATATTACACTGCTCCCAAACCAAAACAGAACAAAGCTGCTCACAAGACAAGTCAAATGCCAAGAAAAACCTCTCCACTAAAGAACCACAGCTCGCTCTCTCTCTCAAAAGAAAATAAGTAGAAGGTTGTATTAGCTTCACAGAATCATAGAAACATTTAGGTTGGAAAAGACCATTAAGATCACTGAGTCCAATTGTTAACCTGACACTGCCAAGTCCACCACTCAACCATGTCCCTAAGCTCCACATCCACAGACTTTTAAATATCTCCAGGGATGGTGACTCATCTTGCTTGACTCTCAGAGTAAGGCCAGGCCCTTTGCTACTTTTTCTTTTCTATGTAACCCCTTGATTCCTCTGCTGAAGTGCTTTTCACCAAACATTAACTGCAAGTCATCCTCAGCTTTAGTTTACATCACTCTCCCAGTACTCCCTTTTTTAACAGTACCAGGGGTAAGACTGGCACTGCAGGCATGCAGAGATGTTTCAGAGGAAGCCTACACTCTGACTGCAAGCTTTGTGCTTGCCCTTCCACAGTCCCCTGCTGAAAAATATCTGCAGAATCCATTCTCTTGACTTAGCAGGTCCTGTCAAGCAGCTCTGCAGGAGAACCAGCAGGGACACCTTAGTTTCTCTGTGGCTGAATCTAGAAATCGGCACCTTGATGTTGCACTTTCTGTTAGCTTATCCTCTTTCTGGCTTCCATATCACTATCCTTCCCTGAGAATCCTCCACTTTCTTCTTGCAGGGTGTCCTTTTGAAGAGTTTGCTTTGTACTTTTTGTAAACTTATTTGTGAGGAATAATTCAATCATCTTCAATACAGATTAATTTATCCACTCTAGGCTTTGACTTGTAGAAACGTCTGGTTTTGGTTGGGGTAGAGTTAACTTTCTTCCTAGCAGCTGGTACAATGCTGTATTTTGGATTTAGTATGAGAATAATGTTGGTAATACACTGATGTTTTAGTTGTTGAAAAGTAGAGTTTATCCTACGTCAAGGGCTTTTCAGTTTCTCATGCTCTGCCACTGAGGAGGTGCACAAGAAGCCAGGAGAAACTGTATTGTGCATAATTTGTTTTTCTTGGCTTATATGCCTCTCTTTTTCATTTCCAATAAAATTATTATTATCTTTTACTTTATTTCAGTTATTAAACTGTTATTATCTCAACTTCTTGGATATCAGCAGGAGGATATTACCCTGTCAAGATAAGAAGGAAAGGCTTTACCATTTTTCTGATTCTCCTCCCCATCCCACCTTTGGGGGGCCTGGGGCTGGGCAGTGGGAGAGAGCAAGTGTCTGTGTGGTATTTAAGTTACTGGCTGGGGTTAAGCTATGACAGTGAGTAAAATCCTACACTACATGGCATTTAGGCTGGTAACTTGGCTGTAACCTTGGATTTGGTATTTAGTCTGTATCCTCATGTCCTGGCTGTGTTCAATTATTAAGGATGCTTAGAAAAAAATATCAGCAAAATTCAGACTTTTTCCAACCATCCACATCTAGATTCTCATCTCATGTTAGGATTACAAAACCCATTTTCCTCTTATCTTGTCAGGGTAATTTCCTCCTACTGATATCCATTTGCTGCATCTGGGAAGGATCATATTCCTATCCTGTCCCTGTAACCACCCCTAGCATGGTCTCCCCACTTATTCCTTGTATTTATATTTAGGCTCTCAATTATCCGTGTTGTGGTCACAGCACGGTTCTGCTTAGCTTACTGCAGCATTTCCCATTTTCAAACACGAGGAGTACTTGGTTTAGTTTCATATATGGGTTTTACTGCAAGGGAGAAAGGAGAAGTAGGGCACTGTTTCTTTTGCTGCCTGCTGTGAATGGAGGAACCTCTCCAGAAAACTCTCTCACACTCTTACAGGCCTCTCCTTAACACTGCCTTTTGCAGGGATAATTGCAAAAAGAAAGGTTAGATTACTGATTTACAGTATTCCCTAACCTGCAGACCAACACTTCAGCACTGGTTTCTTGTGTTTCATTTACCAGCTGCATCCACCCACCATTATTTTTGGTGTTAGATGTTTATAACTAGGAGCAAACACTTTGAAAAAAGTGGACCATGGTCAGGTCTTCAAAATTATGAAAACAGACTAATAACAAGCCTCTGCAGACATCATATTCTGCATAGAGTTAAGGTTCTCCTATATTATTGACACCAAGCTGATGTTGTTAGGTCTCAGAGGCTCACAACAAACCAGAACACACTGAACAAACATTTGGGTGTTCCTCGCTATTCTGCAAAATAATTTCCAAAGATATTTTACGTTTTCATTAGACTGCAAAACAACACTACTGGTCTGTTAGACACCACAAACTCAAGGCAGCATCAACCCAAACTTTCTGGCCTTGTTGTTTTCAAGATACTACGAGAAAAAAAACTTGCACATTTTGTTCCTGTTGTGTTCTCAACATTAGTTTTATAAATTTGTGTTTTGAAGAAAAATATGCACCTTTTTTCATATCCTTGTCTTTGAATCAGCTGAATTACCTCGTGTTTTGGGGTGAGAAATTCTGCTGTGTTTTGCTTTCCTTACACGTTAAAGTCTATGAAAATAATAATAATACTGGCAACTCATTTGTTTGTATGCATACATAACCACTAACAAACTGCATTCTTCCTTTTTATTTTGGCAGTACATCCTTAAATACAACATGGATGGAAGCAGCAGCAGCAGAAAAGCTCCTTCCCAACTGATTTGTTGTTCTAAGATATCAAATGTTTGGTATTTTTATCCAGTGCTTTACTCAGTGCTGCAAAGCACGCTCTGAAACCTGATAACGAACTGTGTGCTGGAAGAAAAACCCTGAGGAGACAGAAGGGGGAGGAAAGCATAAACAGCTCTTCACTTTCCTTTGTTTAACAAAAAGGTAGAGAAAAGAACATGAAAGAGACATTTTTTTGTCCCTGGAAAGTGAGTCAAGCCAGGTTTTTTCATCACAGTTTAATCCAGGAAAATGCCCTTCTTTTCTCCTTTTTCCTTTCCCCTTTTCCTTCCCTCACAGTAAACCCCAGTTATGAAACTAAAGCAAGTAATCCTCATGTTCCTCACTGGAATTCATACATCCAGCAAGGGCTGAAGTGCCTAGGATTTGCCAAAGAAATTCTGTTAGTTTTTGACATGAACTGCTAATTTAAAAACAGATTTTCAAAGACTTTTATTTCTAAATCGATTGGATTACTAGTCAGACTTATAAAAATAGCAGTGCTTCAGGTATACGTTTTACCTCTTAAACGGCCTATTTATGTTTACAAACTTATTCTATAGACTTATCTTAGCCTGCAAGTTTTAGTGTTTCTCTTTTGATAGCAGGAGTCTGTCATATCTGCACTTCTAACACCAGAGAGAATATCTGAGCAGCCTATACAACTCCTCTCTCCTAATGAATACCCAAGAGTTTCAACTCTTAATAAATAATAAATGACATTCTGCTTGCAGTATGCCTCCAGACCCCTTAAAAGTTTATCCTAAAATCCTTAAATCTGTGAAATAAAATACTCAGCAATATTCTTTTGTTGGGTACAGCTATTCCACCTGGGTTGGGGTAACACCTGGTATCAATCTGGGCTGGTGGATGAACAGATCAGAGCAGCCCTGCCAGGAAGGACCTGGGGGTGCTGGTGGACGAGGGGCTGGACACGAGCTGGCAGTGTACACCTGCAGCCCAGAAAGCCACACGTGTGCTGGGCTGTATCCAAAGCAGATTGGCCAGCAGGGCAAGGGAGGGGATTCCACCCCTCTGTTTTACTCTGCTGAGACCCCACCTGCAGTGCTGCATCCAGCTCTGGGGTCCCAGCACAGGAAGGACTTGGACCTGTTTGAGCTAGTCCAGAAGAGAACGGCCCTGAAATGAAAAATAGCTGAGAAAATCAGGATTCTTCTGAAGAAGAGAAGGCTCGGGGGAAACCTTATTGTGGCCTTTCAGTACTTACAGGGGCCTGTTAGCAGGGCTTGTTGGGATAGGACAAACGGTAGTGGTTTTAAACTGAAGGAGACTAAATTTGGATTATGTATAAGAAAAAAAGGTTTTTTAGAATGAGAGTGGTAAAACACTGGAGCAGGTTGCCCAGAGTGGTCATGGATGCTCCATCCCTGGGAACATTCAGATTCAGGCTGGACAGGGCTCTGAGTAACCTGACATATCCCTGCTTATTGTAGGATAAGACTAGATTACCTTTAAGAGGTCCCTTCCAACCCAGACTATTCTATCACTGTAGAATTCTATGAAAAATCAGCTTGTGCTCATGATATTTCAAGAATTACAATTTGGCCAAGAAGAAAACATCCAATTCCCAAAAGATGGCTTTTCCATTAGCTTTTTATTCCCTGAGAAGACAAAAAATCAAATAACCTCCCACCATCCAGCTTTATTAGTGAAACCTTCAATAATCTCAGGATGCCACAGGATATGGTGACT